AAAATAAAAATTTATATTAATTTATCATCAATACTATATATATTATTTTAATTAGGTAATTAATTAATTAAATATCAAAATTCATTTTTTAATAATAATTAACACTAAAAAATTATTTTTAACATGTATTCTAAAAGCACATATTATAAAACACATAAATAGATAAATACGATGAAAGTTTTATTACAAATGCTTTGGTAATTTAAATACAAAAATATATATTTTTGTTAGGAATTAAAAAAAATCATGACGTCATGGTAATTAGAATGTTAGAATGCCAAAATGATAATAGAAAAACTATAATATCTTTAATAAATTACTAAAAAATAATTATTAATAATATATAAATAATTTTATAAAAAAATCTTAACATTTAAAATATCAATACATCTTAATATTTACTTTTTCTCTTTCTATATTGTATGTATGTTCCACTTGTTTTAGTTTCTTTAATTTGCAATATTATCATGTTAAAAGCCACAATCATGCTATTCAATGCTCTGCTCATATTTCTTACAAATAAAAATACTCAACTTATATGAATGAATGCATTCAAGTTAGAGCTAGCATTGACATTGTAATAGATGGACATTCTAGTGCATATAAGTTTGATTAAAAGGGGGATTGGTATCAACTTTTTAACAAGGGGTGGTGTTAATTAGTCGAACCATCAAATTACTGATAAGGTTAGTTTAGAAGCGCAGTTAACTAATTGAATACATTCCTCTCATTGCATAGATTACTAAGCATCTCCATGTCATTGACATCCATAACTATTACCAGCTTCGCTCTTCTCTTGAAGAACACTGCCTACCAATTACATGGAATCTCACTATGGATGTGTGAATCTCATAGGTGTCTTATGGATGAAAGTGTGTTCCCATTAGTTCGGCTATGGTAGCCACCCAAACTTTTGTTAAAGCCACACAAAAATATTGTAAGTGTGTTTGGTTATAGAATAGTTGCTGTTTATTATTTAATAATTTAAAATTAATTTATATACTAACATTTTAAAAAATCTTAAGTAGTGGTCAACAACTTTATAACT